GGAAACCTAAGGAGGGGTCACAACGAATCAGATCTGACTCAATGGCAGTGAGTTTGGTTTTTTTGGTTGGGAGGTACAAATCTCTGAGACTATATCCCCATGACTCATTACATGGCTCCCCCAGACCTCCACCTGCTGGTCACTGGCTAGGGCTTCCAGTCAAGCTTGAATAAAGGTGGTGAGAGCATACATCCTTACCTTGTTACCAATCTTATGGGGGAAGCATTCAGACTTTCACCATTAAGTATGCGTTAGATGTGGATTGTTTGTAGATGTCTTTTATCAGGTTGAGGAAGTTCTCTTTTATTCCTAGCTTTCTGAGAGATTTTAATCTTGAAAGGGTGTTAAATTTTGTCAAATGCTTTTTCTGAATCCATTGATACGATCATGTGGTTTTTCTTCTTTACACTGCTACATTTGTTGATTTTCAAATATTGAGCCAGCCTTGCATTTCTGCAATAAAGCCACTTGGTTGTGGCCTGGGTTTCAAGTCACTTTTGGAGATGCAGTATCCTCTGTTGTAAATTGGAGGCAATAATCTCGACCCCACCCCACAGGATTGCTGTAAAGATTAAGAGAGAACACGTGAGTGTTTGTGTGTGTACGTGTTTGTGTTGAAGGGGGTTGTGCCCAGACCCAAAGTGCTAGCCAAATGGAAGCTGAGAAGTAGCCTAAAAACAACAACTTCTATTTTTAAGTTTTTACCGTGGTCCAGCACTAGATGAAGTGCTACAAATATCCTTATTCCAAAACCAACCAAACTCACTGCTGTTGAGTTGAATCTGACTCATAGCAACCCCTTTTTGGGCTTCCAAGGTGGTATCTTTGTGGAAGTAGATTGCCCAATCTTCCTTCCAAGGAGTGGCTGGTGGGTTTGAACCACTAGCCTTCTGGTTAGCAGTCAAATGCCTTAGGCATATACCCTAAATATGGTATGTGACCCAAATTAATAGTTACATATTCTTTTTAATATGCATTAGAAAAAAACATAACTGGCATGTCTGACTTCTGGTTTCATGCATGATGACGACAATAATAGCTCGTATTACTAAGTTTTATCAAGTACCAGGCACTAGTATAAGTACTCTATATGCTATAGTTCATTTAATCTTGACATCAACCATGTAAGGTAGGTCATTGTTTTTTGTTTTTTGTTTTAATTTTTATTTTATTTAGATTTGGGTGAAGATTTACAGAGCAAATTCACTCTCAATACAGCAGTTCATATACACTTTGTCTCATGTCATAGGTCATTGTTTTTATAATACTATTTTTACCAGTGATGAAACAGAGGCACAGAGAGGTTAGGTAGCTCACCCAAGGTCACATAGCTAGTGTGCAGGGATTTGAACACAGCAGCCCTATCCCAGAATCATGCCCTTAACTAAAATAGCATACTGCTAGGTTTTGCTTAATTTGAAGTAGGGAGTGTGAGTGTGTGTGTGTGTGTGTGTGTGTGTGTTGGAGGAAGCTCATTTCAAGAACAACAGTAAGTAAAACAAAGATATCATGTAGGGAAGTTCAAGAAGAGCCAAACCTAAGTGAGGTGAGAGAAGTCAGAGTAGCAGTTACTTCTGGGGGATAGTGAGGATGTATCGACTGGGAAGAGGCACAGGGGAATAATCTGGAACTATTTCACATTTTCACATTAGGAGCTCTGGTAGCATAATGCCTATGGTATTTGACTGCTAGCCAGAAGGCTGGCGGTTCGAACCCACCAGCCACTCCTTGGAAGGAAGATGGGGCAATCTACTTCTGTAGTGATATCACCTTGGAAACCCAAGGAGGGGTCACTATGAGTCGGGTCCAACTCAACGGCACATAACAACAACAACATTTCACATTTTGATTTGGGAGATGATTATAATACTGCCAAAATAAATAAATAACCAACCAATTAATTGCTGCCAAGTCGATTCCAACTCATGGTGACACCATGTGTGCAGAGAACTGTACCATAGGGTTTTCAAGGCTATGCCCATTCAGAAGCAGATTGCCAGGGCTTTCTTCTGAGGTACCTCTGGCTGGGTTCAAACCACCAACCTTTTGGTTAGTAGGCAAGCGTTTAACCATTGGCACCACCCAGGGACCTCCTTATATTGCTACAGACATACAAAATGTTAATTTTAAGCTGGGCACTTTAAATCAATGCACTCTGTACACTCTACTGTATTATGTTCTACCTCAATTCAAAAAGAGTTTATTATTACCACTAATGGAGATAATACTTAGACATGAAGGTGAATGCAAAGATCTTCAGTTTGGAAAAGCCCGTGTAACCAATATTCACAATAAGCCTCTAGATGGATCCTATCACCCCCTTTTACAGATGAGGAAACTGAGGCTCAAGAGGAAAAGGCATTTGTCCACAGTCCCACAGGTGGGATGCAGACCCAGATCTGGCTGGCCCAGGCCCACAGGTGCTATCTACCCTCTTTCCTTCGGAGGTGAGGAGCATGACACCATTTTCTAGAGAGCTGGCCTGGCCAGGTCTGTTGGGCAGCCAGAGACTGGAAGCACCAGAGTGAGAACAGGCCCATATTTGCCCAAGCTGTCTGCTCTCCTTCACCCTCCTGGACCAGAAGTCCACAGACACATATTCCAGCTTTTGCCCTTCTTCAGTCATGGTGCTCCTGTTGCCTCGTGCTGCCTGCCAAACACCACATTCCTGGTAAGAACTGCAGAAGGCAGGACAGGAGGGGCCTGGACAGAGCAGGCAGCTCCCCTGGAGGTGGCCCTATGGCCCTTGGCTCAGTGGGCTCCCTTGGGTGGGCTCTGCCCTCCCTGTGGTCCAGCTCACCTTGCAGCATGCTCCGGTAGGCTGTGTCGGCAATGGCGTAGATGTGGGGGGGCATCTCGTGCCTCTTCTTTCCCTTGTACATGTCGATGATCTTTTCCGAGTAGATGGGCAGCTGCTTGTAGGGGTTGACCACCACACAGAAGAGGCCGGAATACGTCTGCCGAACAGAGAGCCTAGCTTACTTCCAGATTGTGGCAGAGAGAGCTCTTACACCCAGACTGCTGGGCCCACCCACCAATGTCTGCATTTACTGGGCACCACTTTGTGCATCATCTACTTCAGACTCACAACAGCTTTATCAGATGGGCTCAATATTTCCCTTTACAGATGTGGAAATTGAGGCTCAGAGAGTTGTAGCAAGAATACCTTGACTATACCAGTAAAGGACAAGCAAAGGGCAAGATGAGATTGTTAGGCCACTGATGTATTTTACAACAGGATGGCTTTTAATACTCCAGAGTTCAAGTCCCAGTTCCACTTCTTTATGTTTATGCTGAATACTCCATGAGCAAGTCACTTCACTGCCCTGAGTCTCACAGTTTAAGTAACTGCTACCATTTACTGAGTGCTTACTACGTGCCAGGCACCAAGCTTAGCACTTCACAGGCATTTTCTTATTGACTCCTCATAACTACCCTGTGATAGTGGTAATTAAGTTTCCCCTCTGCCCATTTGACAGGTAAGGAAACTGAGGCTTTCTGAGGTTAAGTCACCAGACCACACAGCTGATGGGAAATTCGGAACTAGAAATCACAACTCATGCTCTTAGCTGTTAACAAGGTGCTATTGCATCTGTGAAATGGGGCAAAACACAGCCATCCTGCCCTACGGGGTGGACAGGAGCATGTGGGAATGATCAGAGCAAGAAAAGGGGTATAAAGGCATCCTGCAAACCCCACCATGCTGTGTACATGTTAGGCATTATCACTACTGGTATTGTTCCATATCAGGTTTCCCAATGGGTCAAGTTCAAAGCCCAGAAGACAGATTTTGACTTGTCCACAGGAACTGCTTTCCCAAAATGATAACATCAGTACTGCCTGAGGCTCTGAGGGCCGCTAAATGGGGCTTCCTTCCAAATTCCCAAAAAGTGGCCAAGGAAGGAGAAACAGATATTCCACATCTGGGTTA